CCTAAAAATGTGAACAAGGTCATTTTAGCTCTCCCAAACAACTCAACAGTTATGTCCTACCTCGACAGGCACGGGGGAGCATGCTCTTCCCCTCTGTGTCAGGCATCAATCTAAGGGAGTTCTGCATAGCACATTCAGTCTAGCAGGCCAGAGACAATGCCAGCTTTGACCGAGCAATGTTGCAGTCAGCATGTTCATTAACTCTTAAGTCCACCTCCTATGTAACTGCTTGGGATGGACAAGTGCAAGAGCTGGAAGAAGAAAAAAGGTTAATTAACCTTTCTGTAGCTGATGTTCTTCGAGATGTGTTGTACATGCCCATTGAAAACTGTGACTCCCTTCCTCTCTAGTCACAGTCAGCTGGTAAAGAAGGCACTGAGGTGGCACAGGGTCAGTAGGGTCCTTTATAGTAGTGTTATGCATGTGCAGCACTTGGGGACATCAGAAGCTGATCCAATAGCTACCACTGGGGGAAAAATTCTGGCAACTGTGCATGGAGCATGCACATACCTACACTGAAATGCACATGTGCAAAACACCTCAAAGACCGAGTTACAGAAAGGTTAATAACCATTTTTTCATGGTTCTACTTGTTTTATGCCAAATTACTCTCAGTAAGGAAACATGACAGAAGCATTGTATGGTAAGGGAATAAATTTGCATCTGAAAAAAATGATGTATTTGTGATATTCCTGGGAGAGAAGACTCCACACAAAGAGTTTGAATCAAATGACAAGGGTAAATACCATATTACAATCTGTATTAGGATATAATAATGCAAACACCAGCAAACATAGAGTGGAGGGCAGGAGAATACATTTTCCTGGCTAGGAAACCATTTACTAACTGAAGCTGGGGAAGAGGAGATCAGAAGGATGTGAAAAGGGAGATTTCCTGCTTGACATACATACACAATGTGTGGAGTAGGCATTGTAATGGGTTGGCTTCTGCCCCCATTGAAATCAATGGGCAAAACACTTATTTGCTTCAGGGAGAGCAAGATTGGCTCTGGAGAAGTATAGTTCGGATGAGATGATTAAATTAGCTACAGACACAGTCAGAAAATCATGTTTAGAAATCATGTGCTTGCCATGTTTTGTAGAGTCAGTCACACTACCTGCTATTACCCGTTTAAAACCTCAATAAAAACCTATAGTGGAGAACAGGTCCTTACTTTTGTGTATTTGTACCATCCAGATTAATACACACTTGCACTAAGAAGGAGGTAAAATGGGGAAGTGCAAATGGCGGGATGGCAACCGGACTCTGCTTCATTTGCTCAGAAAACTCAATTACACAATGTCTGAGGTCATCACACCTAGCAGTTCTTTCGACCAATCTCTTCAAAGACCGCAGAGGTGAAAACCTTAACTGTTTGCCATAGCAGATGGGAAGGAAGATCTCCCTTAAGCTGCATTTATCGAGGCAGATTATTGCAAACCTTTGACCCTGATGACTGGCAAGGGTTGCTAAAGCTTTTGCTTAAATTCTAGAGATGAAAGAATTTATTATTCAGAGAGGCAGATATCAGAACAAGGGGTGTAAATTTGCACCACTTTGGTGCACAAAGGGGAGGAGAGGAAGTGCTTTTGCCAACAACTTTGCCAGCTATGGGACAGATTCACCACTGATTTAAGGAAGTGCAGTGCCTGGAGACAGTGGAATTGCATTAACTTGCACTAGCCTCTGGTTTGTCCCCATGCATTCCGTGTCTACTGCAAAACAGCTGGAGAGGAATATAGGCTCATAATAAAAGTGTAAATCCTGCCCTGCCCAGTCCAAATTAAATTGTTTTCTGGCACCAGTTTGAACCATATACATAATCTCACAGCACAGGGAACAAATAAAACGTTGCCAATGACATGGTCCTGTCTCTGCACATTGACATGAGACTAGGCCATCTTAGAGTTTAAATTAGCCAACACATACTTTAAAAGAAAAAAGAAATGCCTCATCATAAAAGTGAAACTCCAGGAGACAGGAAATTGATGAGTGACCAAAGGAAAATGCTTTTAAAGTGGGGGAAAAAAGTGCCATTATAATATTTTTAAAGTATAATGTTAGAATCCCTCTCTGTGACCGTGAAGTCTTGGAATAATGAATTAAACACTTGAATACCCTACATTTAATTTAAGAAATAAAATGGAGTTATGCTGGTGTTTAGGGATTTAGATGAATGATAAGATGTGTAGTGAAGATCATGAATACATTGATAATACTGTATATGAGGCTGAGGTCTGTCTCCCAAAATAAAGGGAGGAATATCACATAGGACAATTGAAGCTAATCTGGACAAATCTATCACATATATTGAACTAAAGGATGCCATCAGTTGCATTCTTCTGGTCACTGCATTTCCTGGATCAAACTGAGGGCAATCTTAGATTGGCTATGGGTGAAGAATACTCTGTGATAGATTTCCACGCTTTTTTGGTGTTTAATTGAATCGGCCGTCACAGTTTAATTTGCATCTGACGGAGTGGGTCTTTGCCCATGAAAGCTCGTGCCCAAAAAAACCTGTTAGTCTTTATAGGGCCACAGGACTCATTGTTTTTGCAGCTGCAGATACAGATTAACACAGCTACCCCTCTGATACTGGAGATGTATCCATTGTATCAGCCTTTGCTTTGTTCAGCTGAGCCATGAATTTTTGTGTATTCAAATATCCTTTGTTATTATTCTTGCAAATTGTTTAGCTGCCACATTTGACCAGATCAAGGAGCAACAAAGTTGAACCTTTTTTATGAAATGATAATCCTTTGCCCTTCTCTAGCATTTTCCATCTGAGAATCTCAAAGCACTTTACAAACATAAATGTATTAAGGGTTGCAGCTCTCATGTGAGGTGGGTTAGTGTCTGTATCATTATCCCCATCCAACATTTACAGGTGGAGAAACTGAGGCACAGAGAGATGAAGTGACTTGACCAAGGCCAGCCAGAAGGTGAGCGCTGGAAAACATGAATGAAACACACTTTTTAATTCCCAGCAACTGTGGCTTAGAACATGGAGCTAAGGGATAATTGGTTACAAGGGATAGTTGGGTTGTGTTCCTGATTCTGTAGTGACTTGCTGTGTGACCTTGGACAAGTCAGCTAGGTCCAGATTTTAAAACATATTTAGGCATTGCTATGCTCATTCATGCAATGCCAAACAAATTTAGAAGCCTGTGTTTCATTTCTAAAAGGATTTAGGGGCACTTAGGATTCAAAATACCACTGACAGTTGATAGAATTTAGACTTCTGAATTCCTAGATCACTTCTAAAAATGAGATGTAGTCTTCTGAGCCTGGCATTTCAATGCTGAGCACAACAATGGCTAATACCTTTACAAATCTGAGCTGAATCACTTTCACCAGCTGCTTAATTGGGGATAATGATGATCCCCTTTGTAAAGCATTTTGAGATTTGTGGATGAAAAGTATTGTTTATGTCCCAAGTTTTGAATTATTATTAACAAGACCATTCTTCCTCCCCCAGATCATGTCTCCAGAGATTCCAGAAAGACCTGGAACTAGCCTATTCCAGAGAGCCTCACTGAACTGAGTTTAATTTGTTAAAAAATAGTTGTCTGTTTGTTTGTTTATGTTTCTCTCTCTCTCTGGCACTGGGCAGGTGAGAAGCCTCACCAATGCAGCATCTGTTGGCGCTCCTTCTCCTTAAAGGATTACCTAATCAAACACATGGTGACGCACACCGGCGTGAGGGCCTACCAGTGCAGTATCTGCAACAAGCGCTTCACCCAGAAGAGCTCCCTCAACGTGCATATGCGCCTCCACCGCGGGGAGAAGTCCTACGAGTGCTACATCTGCAAAAAGAAGTTCTCCCACAAGACCCTTCTCGAGAGGCATGTGGCTCTGCACAGTGCCACCAACGGCACAACCGGCACCGGCAACAGGGCTGTCCCTGCCGGAGTGGTGGCCTGCACGGAGGGGACCACGTACGTCTGCTCTGTCTGTCCAGCTAAGTTTGACCAAATCGAGCATTTCAACGACCACATGAGGATGCATGTGTCAGACGGATAAGTAGAATTTCTGTCTCTTTGTTATGAACAAAAAAATAGAAACAACAAAAAAGCTATGGCACTAGAATTTACGAAATGTTTTTGTTTCCTTTTTACCTTTTTCTTTCTTCCTTTTTTTTCTTTATTTTTAGTTTTGTTGGTTTTGTACTACATGAAGAACTGTTTTTGCCTGCTGGTACATTACATTTCCGGAGGCTGGGTGAATAATAGTTTTCCCGACCTCCCTTGGATGGTGGCCTTAAGGCCAGGTAGTGCTTCAGGAGCTCCACTGGTTGGATCTCTAGCTACTGGCCTCTAAATACAACCCTTCTTTACTACAAAAAAAAAAAACACAAAAAAATAACAAAAAAAATCTTTTTTTTCTCACTTGTGAAGAGCACTACAAAAAACAAAACGAGTATACTACGAAATCTACAAGGCCTACTGTCGTTTTAAGTACACCGCTTGCAGTGTTTCAATGGACGTCATTCACAATTCTGACCGCTCTTGGACTTCACAGTATCCAGTTAGAACTGTGGAATATATCACTACTGCTTGAACAGCAGCCAGACAAAACAAGGCCCTGCTGGTTTCCACCATTTGTCTGCTTTATCTTTCTCTCTTGCTCACACACAAACACACATACACATACACACTCTCTCACACACACACACACTAAAAGGGCTGAGGAGAGGGCAAGGGAGTTTGGGTTGGATGGTGTGATGTCCCTTCACAGGATCAGGAATAAGAATCACATTCTTTTCCTGGATTCTGCTCCATCCCACACTCTTTAGCTCACCCTCCCCTCCTGCTTTCCCCTCACCACCAATACCACCTTCCAGCAGACACCGGGAAGATTCAGACAGCAAGCAACGGTGGCTTTCTTTTGTAATTTATTCAGTGTCTTCGCTGAGCCCAGAGCCTCAGCACAATCAAGAGGGACTTTCACAGAAGGCAAAGAGAAACGCAGAGGAAAAACAAATAATGAGGTTTGCAACCTGCGGATCTAGGTACAAGAGAAGGATTAGTTCCCACAATCTTTGCAAAAAAAAAAAAGTTGCACATGGATTTATTCTTGTGGAAGAAAGAGGAATAGAGGGTGGGAGGGAGGGGATAATTTAAAAAAAAATAGTTCATGGGACTTTTTTAATTGAAAATTTTATAGAGGGGTAAAAGTGACATTTACCAGATAGAATGCTGATTTTTTAAATATATTTACAACAGTATTTGTGTAAAAAAAAAAACAAAAAAGTGAGATTGTTAAAAGTAATTTTTCTTTGTTTTCTTTTTTTGTTTTGCATACACTGCCACTAATATCTTCTCTCTTATATAGATATATA